CCCCCCCCCACTCCAGCTCCGGGCGGTGGCCAGGCTGCCTCCGGGAAGGGAGAGGGGGCGAGTCGGGAGAGACAGACAGCTCCTGTCGGGGACAGACGGCTCCTGTCGGGGACAGACAGCCAGCTCCTGTCGGGGACAGGCAGGCAGCTCCCGCCCTTCACTCCTGGCCCGAGAGACCCGCCGGCTGAGAGCCCCCTGCCCGCCGTGCCGGGCTGACCAACCCGCATTGCCTTGGGGGCCTTGGACCACGCCATCCTTAGGCTGTTGCTGCTGTGATAGCGTTACTTACGGCTATCCTTTTAACATCCCCCCATCTCCGGGGTGTCGGTGCTAACGCGAACAGTAACAGTCACGGCAAAGCCAAACTCACCTCCCGATGCTGCAGCAGCGCATGGCTGCCGTTCCAGCCGCCGCAGGCGACGTGCTCTAGGCTGCCTGCATGGCACAGCAGATCCCTGAGCTGGTGCCTCTGGGTCCGTATCTGCAAAACAGCATTGAATGTGTTTGCTCTGCTTTGCCGAATGCTTGTGACATGCTGAGGTAAAGGCTATATGCTGTTTACTGAAAGACACAATGGCTGTCAGACACAGTTACTTTCTCTTCTGCAATATCAAATCAGCAGTGGAATCTTAAATACAAAAAAAACGTGGCATGTTTGGGCTGCATTCTGAAAATCAGTATGTCTTTTCCGTGTTCGTATATTTGTTTTTGCAGTACGGATTTATAAATACATGCCTGAAGTCTTTGGTGATTGAAAAGTATGGTGAAGAAACATGGGAAAAATTAAGGTAATGTGGTCCCGATAAATGTAGCGTATTGGAAGAAAATGCTCAGGAATTTAGCAGCAGAGGATTACAATTTCTCACTGGTAAACGGCAGCTGATGTGTATCTCAAGTAATTATTAGAAGTAACTAGCAGGGCAAAAGCAAGAGTTTCTTACCTTGTAACACTTCATACTCTGATACTAATTTGTCCCAATTAATTTGTTATATCTGATAATTAAGGATGACATGTAGTTTTATAGACAACTGTGCAATAGACTTGCTGGCTCGCTGTGACAATGTCGAAAAGCAATTACACTGAAAAGATGTCATCCTTGATGTGAAGTCAGTTTAATTCCAGGAATTTCAGAAAAGCAGCTAAATAGATTATCTTCTCTGGTTTTGTCTTTACTTTATGAGCTATATGGTATTTTCCAAGATATAAAGATATATAAACGATACTTAGATACATACATAGAATAGCCATTGAAGCCAATATAGAGAATCAGCAAGTTTTTGGTCAAGTCTGTGGAGACCCAAGAGCTTGATATTGTGGCCACGTTGAACAACAAGCCAGTGGACCAGAAGACAAACTAAGACTCCACTTGCTCTAGCCCCCGCAGTACGATGCCCTAATCACGCTATAATACCGTAGCGTGAAATAGCAGAAATGGAGAGGTGGACACCACTGTTCAGCCACGTTAAAGCAACACTTTTACACCATTAGAGGAAGTAATGTGTTCCAATATAACGCTTGAAGGAGGTTAAGGAGTGGGTTAACAGCAAACAGCGCTTAATGAATGCCAGTTGGGTCACCCAAGCATGTTATATTTACGGCACTGCGGAGACAAGAATATTGTCTTCTCTGTTGCAGACTGCAGGCCGGAGTCCAGGATTCTTTCTTGACTTTTGAGGTTTACAAAGACGAGATCACAATGCAGCTCGTCGACAGAGCCTGCAAAATATTAGGTATGTGTCACCGTGCCTCAAAAATGAACCATCCTGGGTCAAGCCTGAGACTGCCGCCCAGCTTTTAGTCTCCTGTGCTGTTTGGAATGCCCTCCCTACATCGCAAATTCTCTGCATCCACTCTTCATCCACCTGACAGCATTTCAAGAACTTCCAAGCCTTTCTTACTCATTAAGGTATCTTTATTTTGCCAGGTGTTCCTGCTGACACGGTTCTGAGAGAGTTTGGAGAGTATTTCTTTGAATTCTGTAAACGCTCAGGCTATGACCACATGCTGAGGACACTGGGTGGAAATCTCTACGAGTTCATAGAGAACCTGGATGCATTGCACAGCTACCTGTCCCTTTCTTACCAGGCAAGTTCAAGTAGTAATTACTGAGCAGGTATGGGTGGACTCTGCCGGAGTTTGCAGCTGAAGGAACAGCATCTCATAGGTGTGAACGAATAATGGAAACAGATGCCCTGACAGGCTCTCCTGTGTTCTGAAACGGATTACTCCAAAATGTTAGGACAATTTTTTAAAATATTTTTTTCTGAGTAGTCCTCAACATTAGATATTATTTAGTGCATTGGCTCTAATGCATAGCGGATTTCCCTTCACAGGTGAGCATATTTAATTTTCTGTTTTTCAGCTTATTCATATTACTGCTTATTTTATTAAGACATGGGATGCTTTTGTACAAGTGGAATTCACCAGTATTCTTTATCAGAAAAAGGTACTGAGGTTTTGTTTTTGTTTGTTTTTCCTCAGGAGATGAATGCACCGTCTTTTAGAGTAGAAAAGAATGAAGACGGGTCAATGCATTTACATTACTATTCAGACAGAAGAGGTCTGTGCCATATTGTGCCAGGTAATCGGATAGAATGCAGAGTACAGATCAGCTGGTAATGCCATATATATACAGAGTACTCATATATTTGCAGTTATGCTTTGCTCGGATTTCAGAATCTTTTTTGCAGATGAGGACTGGCTGTGGAGTTGAAGGCTGGTAGAGTTTAGTCACCAGACATCTGACCTCGGTATTTCCCTGCTGCCCGATCACTCCTAGCTCCCAGTAGCTTCCATCAAGATTTACGATACGACAACCCAGGCCATAAGTGTCCATTCCTGCTATAGAAGTCTTATAGAATTCCCTTGCTATAGAACTCCTATAGAATTCCCTTCCTGGAAGAAAAATTAAAGGTCATGGTGTGTATTGTGTCTAACTGTTGATTAGTTCTCAGTGACTCATGCTTCTTAAATTACAGTGAAGTAGAAATTATGGTTGATTTGAAGACATCCATCCATCCTGTAATAAATACTCCTGCAGCACATGCAATCTCTAAAACTACTATTGAACCCTGCTCAAAACGGAATCTTCTAGCGGCATTTATAGGAATCTCCACAGTTGTATTCGTGCAAGGGTTAAACAGCGGTAAATCTGTAAGAGATGATCATATTCCTTTCTCTCATAGACGCTGCTGAATTTAGGAGTTTATCAAAACTTCCTCCTTTGTCAAAACTCATTTCATATACCTATTGAAGCACAGAACTATTTGGAATTTCAGACAGAGCGTTTCATGTCATTGTCCAGCATTTCGCTTAGCTATTAGGGCTAAGCAGAAACGAGAGGACTGATTGTGCATCTTCATGAAAGATATTTCCTTCCTTTCAAAAGAAACTATTCTGCAACGACTGAAATAGATTTGTTATAGCAGAATCTCTTCAGACCCCCTGCACTTTTTGGGTTAATGGGAATTCATATTAGTACTATGTATGACTATTTGGACACATTCTTCAGATATCCTGCTGAGCTGCTTCTAGTGAAAATAAGCATTTGTCATCGGACAAGACAAAAGAAACTAACTTTTATCTCCTATGCACATATTCTTATCACAGCAGCGGTAGTGGGAACGACGTAGGTTGCTTTCTTCTTCCAGAGTCCTTTGGAAAAGTGATTTCTGAAACAGTGAAATTCCACTGTGGGCCCTCTGAAAGGGAGAATGGAAAGGGTTTGTTCTTGGCAATACTTTGTCTTTTGTTTCCCCTTCAGGAATCATCGGTGCAGCAGCCCTGGATTTCTTTAACATTGAGATTTCAATGGAAATAGTCGATCAAACAGAAGAAGAAGAAGAAAGAACTGGGAAAAAAGAACATATTGTTTTTCTTGTCACTCAAAACCCTGTATTTTCATACAAGGAAAGAAATGCATTTTCTTCCTCACCTCAATATCTTGCTGACTCTGAAAAACAAATTGAGAACCAACTGAATAAAGAGGTATTTTAATATTCATTATCACTCTATTATTAAAATATGATTAAAATAAAAACACCCTTGAATTGCCCTTTGGATTTATTTCAACAGGACCTTGAAAAAGCCAAGAATACAATTAGAGGCAGAGGAAGCTCTGTTTGTCCTGTCAAGAAAAGTCACTGGAAAACAATAAGAGGAATAATCACATTAGGAAAAGGTGAGAGATCACGCAGAGGGAGCTTGCCATCATTTCTGAGTCTCGTCAGTAAGCCTCCCTGCCTCCACCCACCCATCCATTTTGAAGTTGCCCTTCGTATTTCCTCTGCGTCTTTTCAAAATGTTTCTGGTTAAGTTTCTTTCAGTTAGACATTGCTAATCAAAGAAAAATTGCAGATAATAAGCATGCTTCGTAATGACAGATACCGAAATGGAGTATGACCTGTCACTTTTGTCTCTTAAACAGGGTTTTCTTCTGAAAAGTATTCTTCTGTAACGTGTCATTGTGTGGCACATTCGATACTTCCTTCTCATGTCACTTGGTCTAAGATGATGAATTTAAGAGAGTGTTTTTTAACTTGGTAGCTGCTACTCCTTTCCAAAGTTATCAACTGTAGTAAATTCTGAAAGACAAATTACACCCTCCGCTACCAAAAATCTACTGCTAATCTAGCAATCTCTGTTTATATCTTTATATATTATATGTTTATAATCTTAATTTATATCTGTTTATAAAACGGAAGGATTTTTTCGGTTAGGATCTTTCGATTCCCCAAGAGGAGAATCCAGCTCGGTATCGCCAAGCTGTCTGGATTCTGGGAGGAGTGAAAAATTGAACCTGATCTCATCTGGTACAATGCCACATGCATTACGAGAGCAGATATATTGAGCAAGAAATTAATATATATTCAAAATAAAATTTTAGAGTAGCATTATTACTTTAATAAAAAAATCCTTTAACAATTAATGCAAGAGTTATCAAGAGCCAGACTTTGAAAGATGAAAAACCCACATTGACTTCCCCTGAAGCACTAAGAGATCTGAAAGCTGGGTCCTAAATTTGTAATCTTTTTCACCAGCCTTCTAAGTGACTTAAGCATTGGTTATCAAGCAGAATTTACTAGAGTGACTGTCATAGCCACCTTCTGAGGGACAGAGATCACTTGAAATAATCATCCTTTTGATTATTGCGGGTTACTGGAGAATCCAAGTTCATACTGCGAAGATCAGAGGCTTTGGGTGCTTCAGTCAGATAAGGGCTTTTGACTGTTTTACCCATTTTATTCATTTTACAACAATACCTGTTCGCTAGCAAGCACAGCCTGCTCTGTAGATCTGTGGCCATTTTGAAAAAAACTCAGGGTAAGTAAAATAGAAACCAAACAGTAATTTGGTCTCTGTGCTACAGACTAGAGTTCTTTGTATAGGAGACTGAAACCCAGATCATGCTGGGTTTTCCTCCGTAAGTGTTCCTTAGTAGCTGGCAAAGTATATTAAATCCATTTCTGCGTACATTTTTGTGGGATATAGCTGTGTTATATTGCTATGACATCTGCAAAGTCATAGAGCAGAAACATCTACAGTTGTTCATCTATTCTTATTGTTTCCACACAATCTCATGCATCTAGTGCTCTGTGTTTTTTGTGTGGTTAAGTTTTAAACTCTCAGCCAACTCAGACTAGTTGCTAATCAGCTGTGTGTTAAACTGTGGAGCATTTAGCACAGATGTATGCGCGTTTCTGGACCCCCACACTGTTTACTTTGTCTTCACTCATTATGATATAGGGTCCTGTCTCACTGAGTGCCAAAAAGTAACGCTGACTGCTTTTACGAGGTGCAGCCTGATTAAAAACTACACATTTATCTTGCCACAGGTAAGCTCCTGAGAGGATTTGATCCTGTTTATCCCAAGAGCCTCTGGATCGACACAAAAACATTTTGCAATGGACTTCCTTTTCATATGGTTTTTGACAAAGAGGTAGGACAAGCATGTGGTAAGGGCATTTAGTTTGCATAAACCGTACAGTAATTTTCTTCTGTTTTGACTGTCCTACACTTCACTGCTGCGTGTGCTCTGTATACAGTGCACACTCATTTGTAGCATTTACAGAAGTGCTCCGTACAGAGACATGCGATAAAAGTCACTCGTAACAACTGGATCTGGATCGTTTCAGATAGGAATCTCCTTTGAATTTATTGAGATTACCATGTCTGAAACAGCTGCAGATATGCCAGCAAGGTTTATTGCAGCAGTCTATCTGTTACCAAACACAGAACAGAATTTTCTGAGGTTTCTGGCCACTTTCTTGTCCTTGGATGTGCCAGAGACACGACCCATCCTTTAAACTGGCTTTGTACTGATAGCTAGTCACCCTCTGCTCCCAGTTACCAATCTAGCCAAATGCTTTTGTAAGGCTTTGCTGGCAACTGAGGCTCTACAAGCTTCCCGAGTCTAATCCTACACGCTTCTGCTGGGACAACCCGGCTACCTACTGAATCAGGCAGCATGCAACCCCATCTAGTAGGACCTGGGGGTGCTGGTCGACAGCCAGCTGAACATGAGCCGGCA